AAGAGGGCGGCAATTTTCCACAGTAGAGCGGCGGTGGATCACGCTCTCTCCAGCATCGATATCTCCGGGAACAAATGATACGGGACAAAAGCCCAATCAGATGTTGGTGTTAGGGCTATAAGGCTATCGGGTTCTAGGGCTACTGGGCTATAGGGCTACAGAGCTATAGGACTATAGGGCTACAGGGCTATAAGGCTATAAGGCTGTAGGGCTATTGGGCTATTGGGCTATATGGGGTATAGGGTATAGGGTTCTTAGGGCTATAGGACTATAGGGCTGTAGGGCTATAAGGCTATAGGGCTATGAGGCTATAAGGCTATAGGGCAATAGGGCTATACGGCTACCGGGCACCTGGGCACCCAGGCACCTGGGCGCCCGGGCACCCGGGCACCTGGGCATCCCCGGGCAACCCCGCGGGCACCCCTGGGCACCCCCGGGCACCCCCGGGCACCCCTGGGCATCCCCCGGCACCCGGGCACCCGGGCCCGCCGCCGAAATCGGCGGCACACCTCACCTAACCATGTGAATTCGCTAGGACCCTTACAGAGGCAAGCTCTGCGGAATTATTATCTTCCCGCACCCCGGTTCTCACCAGCCCATCCAGAAGCGATGCCCAGGAGAGTGAGGTGATCAGGGAAGTGGGGGAGCATGCAGAAGAACAAACCCAGGGCGGGAGAAGCCGTCATATACCCCAAGGGGGGGTGGATGGAGGAGGAATCGCCATCGTCGGTGGAGTATGGCGAGGACGAGGAGGACGAGAAGGAGGAAAAGGAGGGGCAGTTTGGTACCTCGGGGATCCCTCTTGAGGCCTCTTACCGGGTCTCTTCGGAGCCTCGTGGAGGTTTCTTGGGGCCCTCTTGGGAGCTTCAGAGGCGCTCTTGGGGTCATTTTGGAGGAGGTCATTAAGAATAGACGGGAGCTCCAATTAGCCTCCCCCTGGGGAGCGCCGAAAGTCGCCTCCTGGATCCCCTGTTTATCCCAGGACTCCGAACGTTATGATCACCATGGTGTGATGTTCACCGGCACAGGGCGAGCAGAGCACATTTGGGCCTGGCAGGGCTTGGCACAGCTGAGCAGGGCTGCGCATGTCAAGGCTCAGCAGGGTTTCGCAAGGCCTGACAGTGCATGTCCGAACATAGCAGGGCTTAGAAGAGCCTAGCATGGCCTGGCACGGCTCCACAGAGCCCAGTAGGGTTGGGCAGACCCGAATCGTGCCTAACAGAGCACTGTTGGGCCTGGCAGGGTTCGGCAGGCCTACGCATGTCTCAGCTGTGCTTGTCAGGACCTAGCACGTCTCAGCAGGGCACCGCAGGGCCTAGCAGGGCAAATCATAAGCTAGCAGGGCCTGTCAGTACCTGGCAGAGCCCAGCATGGCCTGGCAAAAGCTCTACAGAGCCGAGCAGGGCTTGGCGTACCCGATCCGTGTTTAGCAGAGCACACATGGGCCCGACAGGGCTTAGCAGGGGTACGCATGTCGCATGTCGTAGCAGTGCTCGTCAGGACCGAGCAAGGCTCCGCAGGGCTTTGCGTCGCCTAGCAGGCTTATCAGGGCCCAGGAAGTTGGCAGATCTCAGAAGGGCTTAGCAGGAAGTACCACGGCACAGCACTGTTTAGCAGGACTGAGCGGAGCCGGGAATTGCTTAGCAAGGCATACCAAGGTTGAGCACATCTTAGCCGAGCCTCGCAGGAGCTAGCAGTGCCTACCAGGGATTAGCTCCGCCCATCACAGCTTAACAGGGCCCAGCATACCTCAGGAGGGCTGGACACAACTAGCAGGGCACGCCATGGCTCATCTTGCCATAGCGTGGCTTTCCCGACCCTGACATGACCGATCATGACCAATCGGAGCTTAGCAGGGCATACCAGGGCCGAACAATGCTTAGCAGCGTCTGACAGGGCAAAGTCTGGCTTAGCAGGGCTGAGCATGGCTCTGCAGAGCGTTGCAGGCCCCCGCAGGGCTGAGCCAGGTCTAGCAGCGCTTCGCAGACCCTACCAGGGCATAGCAACATTGAGCGCGGTCTGGCATTGGTAAGCAATGTTTGGCGGAACCCAGCAGGGCGTTGCGGACCTTGGCCAAGCTGAACAGGTATTAGCCGACTCTCGCAGGGCGTGGCAGGCCATGGCTGGTCTAGGCATACCTCAGCAGAGCGTAGCAGGGATCACCAGGGCTTCACATAGCCTAGCATGGCTCACCAGGCAACAGTTTGGCTAAGCAGCGGGGAGCCAGGCAGAGCACAGGTCACCATGACATCGTATGGTCTGGAAAGGCGAATCGGGGCCTGCAAAAGCTTAGCAGGGGGTTGTATGTCATACCAGGCCGTATAAAGGGCGGAACAGGGGTGACGCGGGCGCCGCACGGTTTCGCAAGGTTTGCCAGGGCATGGCACGCCTTCGTAGTGCCGAGCAGTGCCATCAGGAGGAGGAGGAGGAGGAGGAGGAGGGGGAGGAGGAGGTGGAGGAGGAGGAGGAGGAGGAGGAGGAGGAGGAGGAGGAGGGAAAGGATCAGGAGGAGGCACGAAAGGAGGACGCCACAGAGCACGCAGAGCATTCACAGACGCACGCGCCAACTCTCGCGCGTGCCTTCGACCCCGAGGGACTCCACAATCTCGCGCGCGCCTTCCACCCCGAGGGACTCCACAATCGCCCGTTCTCGAGGAGAAGGGGGGCGGAGGAGAAGGAAAGCACGAAACAGGAGGAGGAGGAGGAGAAGGAGGAGGAGGAGGAGGAGGAGGAGGAGGAGCAGGAGGAGGAGGAGGAGGGGGAGGGGCAGACGAGGAAATAGAGCAGGAACACGAGGAGGATGTGGGGAGGAGGGGGACGGAGGAGGGGACATAGGAACAGGAATAGGCGGAGGAGAGGAGTGAGGAGGAAATGTGTTGGAGGAGAAGGAGGGGGAGAAGGAGGAGTAGAAGGAGGAGTAGAAGGAGGAGGAGGAGGAGGAGGAGGAGGATGAGGAGGAGGAGGAGGAGGAGGGGGAGGGTAGGTGGGGAGGAGGAGGGGGAGGATAGGGAGGAGGAGGAGGAGAAGGAGGAGGAGGCGGAGGAGGAGGAATGAATGAGGAGGAGGAAGAGGAGGAGGAGGAGGAAAGAAAGAGGAAGAGGAAGAGGAAGAGGAAGAGGAGGAGGAGGAAGAGGAGGAGGGGGAGGAGGGGGGGAGTAGAGAGGAGAAACAGGGGGGATATCGAAAGAGACTGGCATCTAGGCCGCCTGGCAGCACATATCCCGAATGCCTAAGGTGCAGTCGTGGAGTTGTTGTTGCCCCTTGTGCGTACAAGGCATGTGTTGTATTTTTGTTGCGGTCGCGTGCTCCCTCAATTCTGCTCCGCTGGACGCTTGCCCACACATGCGCCCTGTCCAGTGCATCACGTGGAGCCCGGGCGGCTCCGCGGTGCACCCCTGTGCCATCTCCCTCCTCCCTGTTTTCACCTCCTCCTACCTCCCCCCATCTCCCCTCCCAGTGCCCCCAGAGCTCGGTTCGATGTTCGATGGCCCCCCGCCCTCTCCTGCGCATCGCGCCCGCCCCTCCTGCTCCTCCAGCCTCCCCTCGGCGGCGCTCCGAGGGGGGAAGGGTGAGCGGGGGCAGGCCCCCTCGGAAGGCGGCGGGTCCTCTCGGAAGCTGCCCGACCTTGCGTGGGAATCCGCACCCGCCTTCGGCAAGGGCGCCCTCGAGGGCGCGAAGTTATTCGCGCTTCGCGCTTCGCGGTTCGGCTTCGATTCCTCCTCTTCCTCCTCTTCTCCCCTGGGAGGCGGCGCGAGAGCGCGAAGTTATTCGCACTTCGCGCTTCGCGCAGCGCGAAGCGCGAAGCTGGGAGCCCTTGCTTCGGACAAGGCCCAGAAAGCTTCTCGTGAGGAGGGGAGCCTCCGGAGCCGCCCGAGAAGGCCCGCCCCCCTCCTGGCTGCCAGGGGCAACGTCGGGGCGCAATCGGCCCCCACTCGCCCATCCCTCGCCGGTGGAGGCCGGGCAGCGTCACCCCGCCTAGGATCGGGAGCCTCGAGACGGGGCTCAGTGCAAACGGGGGTCAGCCAGAGCGCCCCGACCTTGCAGGATCCTGCAGGGCCAGGGTCGCATTGACCCGGGTTTGGGTGCAGGATCCTGCAGGATCTTGCAGGATCCTTCGCATTGACCCGGGTTTGGGTGCAGGATTTTGCAGGGTTTTGCAGGATCCTGCAAGGCCTGACTGACCCGGGTCTGGATTGACCCGTGTCAGAGGACCCCCGATAGGACCCTGGGGATCTGCTATCGAGTGCCTATCGCCCAAGGGCGCCCTCGAGGGCGCGAAGTTCTCCGCACGTCGCGGTTCGGCTCCGATTCTTCCTCATCCTCCGTTTCTCCCCTGGGAGGCGGCGCGAGAGCGCGAAGTTATTCGCACTTCGCGCTTCGCGCAGCGCGAAGCGCGAAGTTGGGAGCCCTTGTCGCCGATGTATCGCCGATTCCTGGCCGAGGTTCGCCCCATGCGCCAGTCCCCTCATGACGAATGCCCGGGCCAGAAGAGGAGGGGTCTCGTGCTGCCTCATTTGTCGGGGGCGGAAAAGAGGGGGGTGATGACTAGGGGGGGGTGGATATCATGGCGCGGGCCATGATATTTCCCCAGATTTCATGGCGCCTCTTCTTATTTCATTACGTCCCTGGCCCCCCCGCTGGGCCGCGCACATGCCGCCGGTCATGATTTGCACCCCCCCCTCTTGGACACCCCCTCTTTTCCGCTCCCGAACTTGCTGAGTGGCCCCCAACAATTGGCGGATTTGCCTGAGTCATCGACGCAGCGAACCGCGAAGATGGTGGGACTGTCGCCATGAGTGCGCAGTTCCATTCTATTCGCGACGTAGAGCAGCGTCCTAGATGCCAGGGCTTATATATGTTTTCTGGGCCAGTTACGCGACGTCCAATGACCGCAGCACATGCTGCGTGCACAGATGCTTAGCGAAGCTCGGGCTCGTTACGCGTTCGAGCACCTTGCGATCAACAGCAGTGGATCAGTTCTGTAGCGCCGCAGCCCAATCTTACTCCTTCAGTTCCCGCTCCTCCCCAGGACCAACTCTACCCATCGGTCGTTGACAGTAGGTATTTGTGGGGATTCCCAGATTCCAATCTACTCTGAGCGTTTTCCTACTTCAGTGATCGAGTGGCCTTCAAGAGGCAAACATCGGCCCATTTCCCTCGTAAAGCGTGCATTTTCGGCGTACTCGCTGGCTTCGTCTTCGCAGTGCCCCAGACGCCCCCGCGGAGCCCCAGCACGACCCCAGAGAGAGGCCCAAGAGGGCCCAAGACGGCCCAAGAGGCCCCGAGGCCGGCCCGGGAGGCCCCCGAAGACGGCCGTCCTCCTCGAGGGGGCGGGCGGAGGCCCCAGCTGCTTCCGCCGCCCCCCTTGGCCTCGTGCTGCCTCGCCTGCCCCCTCCGGCCGAGGGGTGTGCTCTCCTGCAGCTCCCACCTTCCTCCTCGGGGGCAGCGTCGAGGGGGGGCACGGGCTCCAGGAGGGGGATGCCCTCAGGAGGGTAAGGAACACAGAGACATAATTCATCATCGACTCCCAGGAAAATATGGGAAACTATAAGAAAAGATGGGGAAATATGGGGAAATGTGGGAACATATGAGGAGTGGGGGGGAAGACAGAAGCTCAGAAGATACGGACAAAATATGGGCATTCCTGTTGTTTGTGTGTATTGATTTGTGTGTGTGTTTGTTTGTGTGTTTGTGGGCCCCTTCAGAGATAATTATAACCGTCGCCTCCCAGGAAAATGTGGGAAAATGTGAGAAGTGGGGGGGGAAGACGGAAACTCCGAAACTGTGGACAAATATGGGCATTCCTGTGATTTGTGTGTGTATTTATCTGTGTGTGTGTGTGTGTGTGTGTGTTTGTGGGCCCCTTCACAGATGCACCAGACCCCAGCCGCTCACGCCTCGCCGAGGCGGGCCCGACGGGCGGCCGCGCCCGGGACCCGAGCGGCTCTGCTTCTTGGAGGGGGGGGGGGGGCGCCGTCGACCTCTCGGCGAGGCGCCGCCGGCTCCGGGTCGGCGCGTCCCCCCCCTCGAGAGCTGGTCCCCCGGGGGTCCCCCCGTGCGCTTCGTGCTTCCAGGCCACAGGCTCGAGTCCACGACGCTCCTTGGCGTCGCGTTGGCGCCGCCCCGATTTGCCAGACCGCATATGCACAGATAGGCATAAGCTGTGTTTGAACGTTTGTTTCAGGACCCTCCCTCTAGTAACAGGCCCACGCTGGAAACCAAGTCCCCCCCCCCCCAAGTAGTCAGGCGATCGCGAACGTGGATTGAGGGTCAGAGGTGGAGAGACCTACTACCCTGACACGTCGATTAGTGGATTGGCCGTTTTCGGTTCGCGAGAGGGCGTCGCGGCCGTCATTTCTGCGGGTCCAGGTTCGTCGGTTTCGGCCCCAGGCCGTTTTCGTTTAGGGGAGGTTTACTAAAGGGGCGTGGATCAGCGACGGGTCCCGTTTCCATGGGCAGTCGCGGATTTCCGCCGCGGAGCGAGGCGGCACCGGCCGCATGTCGGGGAGGGCACCGCCCCCGATCCGTGGATTTGGCGACGGCGCGCTGAACCCATGGGTCGCTGATCCATGTTTGCACGCCCCCGACAATACAGTGGAGGCCCATGCCAAGAAACACCTTGCTTGCCTCCGGGGTGCCATGGGTTCCTTGGGTTTCGATGGCTTCGCTGTGGAAGGCGTAGCGCTCCCACGCCAAAAGTCCATGGAAGTTTTGGGGTCGCAGGATTTGGCTTCTTGTGGAAGGTTTCTTGTGCAAGGGCCCCTGCTGTACGGTAGGTTCGTGTCGTGTCGACCGGCTGCGACCCCAGCGCGGGCGTGTAAGGTTGAACGCCGCCCGTGGCCCAGAATCGGCCCATCGTTAAACGACTCGGCGTGTCTGAAAGGGCCGATCGTTCAAGTTTGAACGATCTCCGCGGTGTCGACCTCCTCCTCCTCCTCCTCCTCCTCCTCCTCCTCCTCCTCCTCCTCCTCCAGCCTTCCTCCGCCTCTCCCGTCTTCCTTCGCCGTCCTGGGCGTGAACCACTCCGCTTCTGAGCGCCGATGTTTGCGGCCCGTGCCCGCGGATCCCGAGCGAAGAAGTGCTCGACTCCGCGCGCTGCGTGGCCGCGTGTTCGCTGTCGCTCCGGAGATCGGGGAACGCAAAACGGTGGGGAGCCTTGAGACGGGGGTCCGAGCCCCGAATCATCAGGGGTAACTCGGGTCAGGGCTAACTCGGGTTCGTTGTTCGGGATTCCGAACCCGAGTTACCCTGGACTCGAGCTACCCAGGATAATTCGGGCGCCCAAGGGATCAATGCAAATGGGGGTCAGCCAGAGCGCCCGATCTTGCAGGATCCTGCAGGGCCAGGGTTGATCCGGGCTTGGGCGCAGGATCCTACAGGATTTTGCAGGGTCCTTCGCATTGGCCCGGGTTTGGGCGCAGGATCTTGCAGGATTTTGCAGGATTCTGCAAGGCCTGACTGACCCGGGTTAGGATTAAGCCGGGTCACAAGTTCCCCGAAATGGCATAAGCCCAAATTTTCGGAGGTTCGTTTCGGTCATGTCCTTCTACAGGAGGAATATTCAAACATAGTCAAAACATAGTCTGTGGACGATGTTTTGATTATGTTTGACCAGTTGGGTTTTTTTCATGTGTGACAAATCCGCCTGTAGGAGGACATGCCCGACCTAAGCACAAGCCCAAATTTTCGGAGGCTCGTACAGGGGAACGAAGAATACCATGAACATCAGAATTCGGAGGTCCGCGCGGATTTCTCTGATTGGCGCTGGGGCCCCTGGCGGCGCCTCCGGCGCCGCCCTTGACGCGCTCCGCGCGCCAGGGAGGGGGGTCCAGCGCGGGTCCAGCGGCTCAAATTTTCGGAGGCTCGTTCCAAGTCGGTCATGTCCCTCCACAGGAGGAATATTCAAAAATAGTCGAAATCGTCTGGGGCCCTGAGGCCGTTTTTTTTAATTCTTTATGAGCGGTTTGGAGTATTTTTTGGGCTACTTTTCATTGCTTGCCGAGCATCCGCCTGTAGGAAGGAGGACATGCCCGACCTGAGCATAAGCCCAAATTTTCGGAGGCTCGTTGTGGCCGTCGCCGTCGCCGTTGATGTCGCCGCCGCCGTCGTCGTCGTCGTCGCCGCCGCCGTCGTCGTCGTTGGCGCCGTCGCCGCCGCCGCCGCCGCCCCCGCCGCCGCCAGGGCGGACCCCTTGGGTCGGCTCGGGGCCTCTCTAGCGGCGCCTCCGGCGCCGCCCCGGGCGCGCTGCGGCGGGCCCATGGGGGGGGCTCCGGAGCCGGCCCAGGAGATCCGCACGGGCCTCGGGGGCGCCCAAACGGGGTGGTGACCACACCGTGTGGTGAGGGGGTGGGGACTCGGTAAAACGACGCGAAGATCGGGACAAAATCGGATCTCTGAGCATCGGCGGGTTTGGAGGATGTATTGGGCGCCGCGGCCGCTCCAGAGCGTTCCGGAACGCTCTGAGAGCGCTCCGGAACGCTCTGGAGCGATTTATCCCGATCCTGGCCCTGTTTTACAAACGGAGTGGTGACCACACCGTTTGGTGAGGGGGTGGGGACTCGGGGTCAGCGCACGGTTGCGGGGCTCGGGTCGATCTCCGAGGACGCCTCGGGCGGCTGAGGCATCCGAGGTCCCAAAACCGAGCGTTGACAGACCGTGCGGTGAGGTCTTTGGGGATTTCGAGGTCACCGCACGGTCTGATACCGCACTGTTTCGGGACTCCAGAGGACCTCCGAAGGGTTCATGCTCGCGCCGTTGTGTGTGCCCCCTCGGAGAGAGCCCACGGGACGGCTTGGCCCACTCGCACGTTTCGAGCGTTTTTTTTTTCATTCACCTCTGGCTCGCACGTTTTGAGCGCTGCTTTTTTCATTCCCCTCTGGCTCGCACGGGCGAGGCAGACGCGAAAGAACACAAATGTGAGCAGCCGATTTCGACTGCTCTGCGGGTCGGCGCGGTGTTTGCCAATGTTTTTTACTCCCAGACCTTGGCTGGCTCCTCCTCCTCCGTGGAACCCCGCGGAGAGGAGTCGAGGGGAGACGACCTCGCGGCATCGCTCGGGGGTGTGCGCGGAGAACGAAGAAAAGAAAGCGCGCCCGAGAAGGGTCATCGGCGCCCTCGCCGTGTTCCGAGCACGCCGGGGGCCAGAGCAGAAAAGTACGCTTGTAGTACCGATACCGTGGCGTAGACAACTACCCTGCCGATGTGTTGCTCGCTCTTTCTGGTTGGGGGGCGCGCACTGGAGGGGCGATCAATGAGGGGGGGCTGCGAGGGCTGCAGAAAAGGGGCCCTTGAGGGCCCCTAAAAGGGCCCTTCAGGGCCCCAAGAGGGGGCCTTCCAGGGCCCGAAAAGGGTACCTTTCTTGCCCCCACCCATGTATCGCCCCTCATGACATTCGCGCCCAGTCTCTGCAGGCAGTGCCTCTCCCCCTCCCCCTCTGCCGTGCTCTTCTACGCCATGCCATGCCGTGCTCTACCATGCATCGCGTACCCTCTCGCGATCATTGCCCTGCTCGGCATCCGATTGCGCGAATAGACAGGGATGGGAGGCAGGGGTAGGAAGGGATGGGAGGCAGGGGTAGGACGTCAGATATGACGCGAGCGCACCCAGCTTGCCCCCTCCCCCTCCTCCTCCTCCTTCTCCTCCTCCTCGCTCCTCCTCCTCCTCCTCCTCCTCCTCCTCCTCCTCCTCCCCCTCCTCCTCCTCCTTCCTCCTCCTCCTCCTCGTCCTTCTCCTGGTCCTCCTCCTCCTCCTCCTCCTCCCTCCTCCTCCTCCTCCTCCTCCTCCTCCTCCTCCCCTCCACGTCCTCCCCTCCTCTCCTCCTGCTCCTCCTTCTCCTGCTCTCCTCCTCCTCCTCCTGCTCCTCCTCCTCCTCCCTTCCTCCCTCCTCCTCCTCCCCCTCCTCCTCCCTCCTCCTCCTCCCTCCTCCTCCTCCTCTCCTCCTCCTCCCCATCCTCCTCCCCCCATCCTCCTCCTCCTTCCCCCCATCCTCCTCCCTCCACGTCCCTCCTCCTTCTCCTCCTCGTCATCCTCCTCCTCCTCCCCCTCCTCCTCCTCCTCCTTCCTCCTCCCTCCCTCCTCCTCCCCTTCCTCCTCCTCTTCCTCCTCCTCCTCGTCTCTCTCCTCCTCCTCCTCCTCCGCCTATCCTCCTCCTCCCCTCCCCTCTCCTCCTCCCCTCCTCCTCATCCTCCTCCTCCTCCTCCTCCTCTCCTCCTCCCCTGCTCCTCCTCCGCCTCCTCCTCCTCCTCCTCATCCTCCTCCGCCCCTCGCCTCCTCTCCTCCTCCTCCTCCTCCTCCCTCCTCCTCCTCCTCCTCCTCCTCCTCCTCCTCCTCCTCCTCCTCCTCCGCCTCCTCCTCCCCCTCCTCCTCCTCCTCCTCCTCCTCCTCCTCCTCCTCCTCCTCATCCTCCTCCTTCCCCCCATCCTCCCTCGCCCTGGATCCCTTGCCCCCTGCACCTGCGGGGGTGCCCTGCGGGCCTCGCTCTTCGAGACCCCTTTGTGGAGGCACCACAGCATGAGAGCACTTGCCGGGGCAAGGCGTGCCGAGGCGCGGCCGCCCCTCGTTCTCTCACAGGCGCTCCATTCCTCCTCCTCCCCCTCGCCTCTCACCACGGGCGCGGCCTCCCTTCGTTCTCTCACAGGCGCTCCACTCCTCCTCCCTCCTCCTCCTCCTCCTCCTCCTCCTCCTCCTCCTCCTCCTCCTCCTCCTCCTCCTCCTCCTCCTCCTCCTCCTCCTCCCCTCCTCCTTCCTCCTCTCCTCTCCTCCTCCTCCTCCTCCTCCCCTCCTCCTCCTCTCCTCCCCTCCTCCTCCTCCTCCTCCTCCTCCTCCTCCTCCTCCTCCTCCCCTCCTCCTCCTCCTCCTCCTCCTCCTCCTCTCCTCCTCCTCCTCTCCTCCTCCTCCTCCTCCCCTCCCCTCCTCCCCCTCCCCCTCCCCTCTCCCCTCCTCCTTCCTTCCTCCTCCTCCTCCTCCTCCCTCCTCCTCCTCTCCTCCTGTTTCTCTCCTCCTCTTCTCCTCCTCCTCATCTCCTCCTCCTCCTCCTCCTCCTCCTTCCTCCTCCTCCTCCTCCTCCTCCCCCTCCTCCCCTTACTTCCCTCCTCCTCCTCCTCCTCCTCCTCGTCTTCCTCCTCCTCCACCTCCTCCTCCTCTCCTCCTCCTCCTCCTCCTCCTCCTCCTCCTCTCCTCTCCCTCCGCCTCCTCCTCCTCCTCCTCCTCCTCCTCCTCCTCCTCCCTCCCCCCCTCCTCCTCCTCCTCCTCCTCCTCCTCCTCTCCTCCTCCTCCTCCCCCTCCTCCTCTCCTCCCCTTTTCCTCCTCCTCCTCCCCCTTTTTCTCCCTCCTCCTCCTCCTCCTCCTCCTCCTCCTCCTTCGCCCTCCGCCCTCCGCCTCCTCCTTCTCCTCCTCCTCCGCCTCCTCCTCCTCCTTCTCCGTAGCCATTTTGGCTCAAGATGCTTTGCTCCACAGCGGAACACGTGGATACCGCTAGTCCGCGGCCAGTGCCAGGGCAGCTCTGCCCGACAACGATTTCATGGGATCCCGATCCCGTCGCTGGCTGCGCGACGATAATAGCCCCTATACCGACACATCAGTGCTTGCCATGGCGCCGCAGCAGCCTCGCACGAACTATACCATCGTCCTGCCGTGCTGTCCAGCAGTGGGACTGGAATTGGCGCATCATCAAGAATGGCGGAGTGTGCTCGGTGTGTGGTCAGGCGCAGCAGCTGTACTCTCCTAAGACGAACCAGGATAATGACAAGCCCAAGGGAGGACCGCCGAAGCGGCAAGGGGGTGCTGTACCCGCTGCTTCACCGCTTGCGGTCTTCACCCCTTGGGGCAAGGCGAAGGTTTTCAACCAGCTTGAGGCCCTTGCGCAGCACGATGCCCCGGTTGCGGCACCAATCTTGGCTATCAAGCAGGCAGTGGAGACGCCAGCATTGGCGAAGTCGCGGTCGCCCTTGGACCAGTTCCAGTCGACGGAGGCCAAGGCGAAGCAGACGGTTACGAACGCTCACAACCTTCTTACGGAGACTGGCAACTTGGAGAGGCGCCTCTCGCGAGAGGACTACGACCAGGCCATGGAAGAGCTCGTGGATGCGGAGGAGGCCCACGAAGCGGCGGCCGTGGCCTACAACGAGCATCGCTCTCCGACGGCACCTGCGCCCAGCCGAGCGTGCCCAGAACCTGATTTTCTGGCGGCGCTCGACGAGAAGCTCAGGAGCATCTCGGTGGACGAGTACGAGGACGGGGAGGCTAAGACGAAGCTCCTGATCGCTCTCACGGCCATGGACGATGCCAGGGCCCAGGCCATGGCGGGCATCCAGGCCGCCCAGGTGGCGCTCGATGGGGGTCATGGGTGCGGCGGCCCAGGCTCCGCTCAAGAGGCGGCGCGCGGATGATGCTGCCAGCGGGCCAGAGGCTGCGGCGGACCTTGCGGGCAGCCCCACTGGCCCCGCGCAGGCAGCGGCGGCTGGCAGCGGCGGTGCGGCCCCCCCCTGACGGCGGTGGCGGGGGAGTCGCCAAGGCCCCTGCTGCGGGCCCCGAGCCCCCAGAGCAGTCCGACCCAGCTGCTGCGGCTCGAGCGCCCGAGGTCCAAGCGGCCCGTGAGCGTCTGGAACGATCCGCCTCGAAGGCCGCCCCAGTGGCGAAGTCATGTGCTGATGTGCGGGTTGCGGCTGCTCCTCTTGCCCCTGGCGAGCAGCCTCTTGGTGGGCCGCCTCCTGATGCCAAGGCCCCTCCTCAGAAGAGGTGGCAGCACCACCATGGGCCATGCAGATTTCGACCCCTTCGAGGACATCAACAACAGCGATGTGTGCTTCGGTGCGGAACTGGAGCAGACAGATGCCCCCTTCCCCCTGCCACCTGTCGCCCCTCTGGCGGCGGCGGTGGGAATCGGCATCGCGACGACGCCCCGCATGGCCCAGGGCGCGTCTCCCTGGGGCACAAATGGCAAGGCTGGCGGCGACTTCTGCATCGGCGTCGCGTTGCTCGCCGGCGTCTCCGCAGGCGGGTTCAGCGCGGCCGCCTCAGCTGGCGGTCTCGCCGCAGCAGCGGCTTGCTGCTGATCTGAAGAAACGGGCAGCTCATTGGATTGAGAACCTCCAAGACCCTGAGAGTGGCGCTGCGAGGTGGAGGCAGTCTCGTGCGACGCTTATCTCCCTCGCCACCCAGCGCGCGCTGAGGCGGAGGAGGTCTGCGACGGGGCTCTTCGTAGGTCGGCTGCGATTCACGCGGCTGTCCTCACGCACCTGGACCGCCTGGCGCAGTTGGGCAACCTCCCCCACTGGCGCGCGGAGGTCAGCCGCATCTGGGACGCGGCGAGGGCCATTGAGCAGGAGTTCAGGGATCTCATTGGACCAGGTGCTGCGCCCCGCCCCGAGTACGACTATGATGATAGCGGCGCGTGGCAAGCGCCAGCAGGCAGGCCTGCTCCGAAGGAGAAGAAGCCTGCTGACGGTACTAACGCGCCCCTCTTCTTCGCGAACATCACGGAGCGGGGGCCGCGCATCCACGAGTTCGCGGTCGGGAACAAGCACAATCACGGCATGATGGCCTTTGCGGAGACCCACGTCGCCGACGAGAAGTTGGTCCAGCAGCGAGCCAGCTTGGACGTGGACGGCTGGAAGCTCTCGGCGTGCGCGGCCACCCTCACAGGGCGTTCGGCTGAGGGCGCGAGCGGAGGAGAGTGGATCTCGGCCCGTTCTCACCTGGCCATGCCCCACGGCGGGGGCTCTCCGCGCATCGCCGCCCTTCGATCGGCAGCGGGCCCCCATGGCCGAGGAGCACCGCAAGGACATGTTTTTTTCCCGTGGCTGGGCCGCCACGGCCCGGCACCTTCGCGT